GTGATGGTGGCGGAGTTGCGGCGCGCTCTGGTGGTGGTACCGATGGTGGGGCACCCAGCGCTTGCGCAGCGTTCTATGCAACGCGTTATGCGACTTTTTGTCGCTGTCAAGCACCAGTGGATTCTATGTATTTCAATGGATGATCAATTATGGCCGGATTAGTGAGTACAATTTTAAAGACTCTATTGGTATTGAATTTAAATGTATCAAGTATACTTGGCAATTCGCTTCGATGATTCCGTAACTTAATATAAGTTTGGTGGTTTATTTGGTACCTTATAGCACTTTAACCAATCACTATGAAATTTAGTACTCACATAATATATGAGATGGAAAATGATGTAGGCTTCTTTTTATTCTGGTCACTCAGACGAAGTCACGGGTAAAAGCTAGTATATATAAAAGTCTTCCCGTATCTATATCCCGTATCAACTGCTTCACGGTAGAAACACGAATGAGAAAGAGGTACCCAAGCAATCGACTTTTGTACAAAGTCTCCCTCTGGTAAATTATTTACGATTACTTGAATATATTATTAAAATAAATATTATATAAAATCATTTCATATTTCAAATCATTAGCGTTAATAGTTGCTGACGTGGCTGATGACTAAATAGACGGTCGAAGTCGCACCACGAAAGTTCCTTTGTACTTTTTAGTGCTGGACCACAAAAAGAGAAGATATTAAAAAATATTTTCCATAATTTGTACGTCATTCTGTAAAATTATACTGTTTTTCACCTGCCTATCGAAGGCTACTGTTATATATTTCGCATTAATTCTACGGTTCCGCAATTTAAGTGATTATAATAAAAAAAAATTAAAAAAGAAAACAACCGCATATAAGCATTTTACTTAAATCGTTGAGCAAAACATAAGTCTTTATGCACTTCGCTTCATTGAATACTTAACATTTTAAATCCGAAGCTTCTTGTGCTAATCAGTTAGCAAATATGGCTCGATTAATCTAAATTATATACAATTAAACAGACGTTAATCGAAAGAAAAAGCAAAAAACAAAGACAGAACACTTCCCCCTTGATAAAGAAGTAATGTTGGCATCACAGACTTCTTGGAGATAGATGACGTAATTATGAAAATATACTCAAATAAAATGTCATTTTGGTCCTGGAATAGAATGAGCCAAGTCTTCCTTTCTTTTTTTTATACAAATTAGAATGGCAAACAAGCTGACGGCCCACCTGATGGAAAGTGGTAACCGTCGCCTATAGACATGAGCAGTACCATGGACATAACAGAGTATACTGTTTCGCCCATGATACCCCCCATGCGTTGTCATTCCTGAGGACTCAGGTATTATTCCTCTGTACCCAGTAAATTCACGCTATATCCCACCCTTCAAACCGAAACACAGCCATGCAAACACAACTGCTTCACGGTTGAAACTCGAATGGGACAGAGGTACCCAAGCAATCGACTTTTGTACAAAGTCTCCCTCTGGTATGTGTGTGTGTGTGTGTTTGTAGATATATACATATATTACTGTATATTACACATCACAAATAATGAATCTCTCATTGCCAACAACAAACTAACAGGCGTTTTTTTTTTTACTGGCATGCAATACATACGCACTTACTGAGAATGAATTGGATAATAGAGACGTAGACAAAGATATTTCAAATGATCAATGATGTTCATTGTGGTATGACAATACAAAGGCATTGTGTTTAATTTGAGAACGTGAGAATTTAATAACTTCATACATTTTACGACTTCATACATAAAAAATCCAATAGCAACAATTAAAAATAACCTTACAGGAATTGGTTATCGATTGCCCTTTTTTAGGTATACTTTATTTTATTTATTTATTTATCATTATTATTGGGCACAAAACACAAAGTTACAAACACAAGATACAATTTTTGTTTTATTCATTTTTTCATATATATATATATATATATATATATATATATATATATATATATATTTTCATATTATATCTATTGTATTTAAGAGCTGCGCTCTTGTCAGTGGAGCTCTTGCCACTCACTACGATTTTCAACGAGTCTCTTCACCTCTTGATACGACACGACACCAACTCCTTCCTTGATCTGCCTGATCTAACTATGTTTCGGTCTCCCTCTTCCCCTCCTTCCTTCTATCTTACCTTCTATTATAATGTTCATAAGTTCGTCGTGTCGTATCAAGTGTCCCAACATTTTTCCCCTTCTGTACAATATAAATTATTATATATATTTTATATATAAATGATTATATATATATTTTTTTAAGAATATTCCACCCTATTAGGTGCAGTAAACAGAAATTATTATATTTAATTTCTAGCTTTCATACTTACTTTAATTTACTTTACCGTGTGGTTCCAACATAGAATGGGCCATCCTTTCCTGTGGATTTCGCAAGAGCCCACTAAAAGAGCTTAATAGACAAGAGATATTTTTTCCTAGAGATTACTGTTTCCCTAAACTTTGGGAGCCAGTTACACTTAGAACAATCATGGGATGGGCAGCAATATCCCTTTTAAAACATCACCAAAGTCTAACTGCGGTTGCCAATCCGCCTGTCAAGCGTAGCCCCCTCTTATAGGAAAGGCCTAACTTAAGCAGTGGACAATAAACAACTAATATGATACCTACTTTAATTAAATTTCTTCTGATACAGGATTGCTTAGTTTAATATTACAATTGCCTATATCGTTTTTTATTTAATGGATGATAATAGAATAGCAACCCCGCCTTCGCTAACGTTTAACGCTGGCATGGCACCAGTGAGGGATGATAGGTGAGGCAAGTCAGTTAGTATCACGAATTTAATTAACGGTATGTTACCGCAAGCGAGGTAACCATTCCATTATCATTAATAAAAAAAAATCCCTCGACCATTACATTCCCTTAGATACCTCTCAATACGCCCACGGGAAAGGATGGGGTGGCTTATTCTATATCGAGACCACACGTTTATTGTAATCAGTTCAGGGTACAATAGGACTGATATACCTGAAGAAGGTAAAAGCCCTTAAAATATTAAAAAAAAAAAAAAACTTCGACCATAGCTTACAACAATCAGGTTTTATATATTATATAGGTTATTGGTATGCAAATACAAGAAATATGGTAAACGGTTAAAATTAAGCCCGTCTGTAATTGGTACATTTCAAATTGAAAATTTTAATAAACAGACATAATAGAAAGAGATAGCCATACAATACTTTAATAATTCATAGCCTTTGGTCATAAGCAACTGATCCACGAAGGCTCTAGATAAGTAAAGTTAGCGGTAATGAGGTACGGCTGTTATCCAATACTCGGAAACCTAGAACTGTTATCATGGTAACGACAACTTAAAAAGTAAAACTGCGTTTAATGGCATTACCACGAGGTAATAACAGCGTGTAATTTTTATATATGTACATATTACACAAAATAAATATAGTTTTTATATCACACCTACTCCGGAAAATAGCTACTTAATTCTGTATTTTTTTTTTTGTTTCGAAATTTCTGTAAAAGGAATACCTCATCAACGTATTTTTGTTACATCAAGTGTAATTTCATGGCAGAACGCTAATTAAATGTATAAAAATTAAAAAATTTTAATTCCAAATTCAAATTATCGCTATAGAAAAAAATAATACTTAAGGTCCGCGTCACTTTGGCTAAAAAAACGCTGTATGAAATCTATGCAATCACTTTATTCAATTTTAAAACTTTATACTATAAAGCAACTAGATTTTTTTAATACCTATCGATATCGATATTTCGGATTGACATTATAAATAATTATAATTGAAATTCATGTCACTTAACGCGTTACGATAATAAGTAATACGTATACATATATGTAATTTTTATTGCCTACGTTTCATTAAGTCCCGAACATGAATTTAAACGTGTGGAAATAATAGGAAAGTTTAAAATTTACTTTTAATTTTATTGTGTTGATACTTCGAGGTGGTTACATAGATTCATTTTTCAGTTTCGTCAATATAATGGCAATGTCAATACTTAAATTATGTATTTGTTAACTTATTCTATATATTATGTGGGTTTATATTTGTCAAGTATTAAAATTTAATATAACTGTAAATAAAACGAGATACTGGAAAATAATATATGTACATAACTATCTCTCGATAAATTTAAGTTTATATAATATTTTACTTGACATTAACAAGTATAACAATCTTAAATTATAATTCTATAGGTTACAGTAACTGTTTATTGTCAGACAGGCTGTATGCTTAGCTACCTTTGTGATATAAAAATAAAATATAAAAGTACGTGAGTTTGTTATACTACGTTTATGATTTCAATAAAATATTTACTAGGTAGACATAACATGACGACGATGGGGTCGATTCTGAGGCGCCGTTCCTGTAAACTCATCTGTTAACCTAATGTTTAAATTTGGTAATTTCGCATAATGAGATACCTATCTACTTAAAATGTATTTTAAATAGGTGGGTATCTCACTACAACAATATTTTTACACTACAGGAATACTTTTTTTTATTAGTAGTACTAAACAAAAATTAATAATGTTAATAAATTTTGTATAAATTTTTTTAATGGATAATAATGGTATGGTAACCCCGCCTGCGTTGTCGGTATACACTGACGGGGCACCAGTGAGGGATGATAGGTGAGGATGAAGCAGGTTATTTAGCCTACCGTGACGAATCTGACAATAAATCAATCACAACGGTTTCCAGAGGGAACCACGAGGAGGTCGACCTGACAGGGTACATTGCTAGCAACATTTTATAATATTATAATATAGCAGTTAACCCATATGACTTAGTCTGTTTTTAGGTATAAAAGTCATTAATGAAACAACATCGCAATGGAAGGTTAAAACTAAAGACTAGGCAGTATGATCATTGGCCTTAGCCTGTTCCTTATGGAAAAAAACCTAATAAGGTTTTTTTTAATAAAAAAAAGAACAATGGAGGGTACTAAAAAAAAAAAAAAGAACAATGGAGGGTACTTTCGAAATTCAATTTGACGGTTGCGTATACACAAAACGTTACCTTCTGTACAAACAAGAGTATTTAATTAGTGTAATTCAAAATAATTAACACCCAACGTTAATTACTCATTAACAATATGGACAGGAAAGCTTTTGGCGTAAAAACTGTGAGTATTTTAATTTGTTCCTACATGCGAGAATGACATTTGTAATATATCGCACTTTTATTTACTTTAATCATATGTATTTATAGTATTTTAAAAGTAACAAAATATTAAATAAATAATTCTACAAATAAAATAATTTAAATATGGACTAGTTGCATATTTTTTTTTTTATATAACTTAGAATGGCAAACAAGCTGACTGCCCACCTGATGGAAAGTGGTAATCGTCGCCTATAGACATGAGCAGTACCATAGACATAACAGAGTATACTGTTTCGCTCATGACACCCTCCATGCGTTGCCATTCCTGAGGACTCAGGTGTTATTCCTCTGTACCCAGTAAATTCACGCCATATCCCACCCTTCAAACCGGAACACAGCCAAACAAATACGACTGCTTCACGGTTGAAACACGAATGGGACAGAGGTATCCAAGCAATCGAAAAAGATCCTTCCTTAGATATAAAATATAATATGAAGATAGATTCCTTTTTAAAAGGCCGGCAGCACACCTGCAATGCCGTAGGTGTTGTGGGTGATCATGGGCGGCGGTAGTCACTTACCATCAGGTGAGCCGCATGCTCGTTTGCCCCCTGTGTTGTAAAAAAAAATCGACTTTTGTACAAAGTCTCCCTCGGGTATATTATATTAGTATATTTTAAATACACTATTGGGACTTAGGATTAGAAAGATAAGCAAGCTGAAGTGGGCTGGTCACATAGCTCGAAGAAGCAACAACCGATGGAGAAGAAAGATTTTTAAGTGGCCCCCCACTAGATGGAGTGATAACCTGAAAGTGAAAAGTGAAAGAAAGAAGGGAGTCAGTGGATGCAGGTGGCTCAGGACCGTTCTTTATGGCAGTCTAGGGGGAGGTTTATGTCCAGCAGTGGACGGATAAAGGCTGAATTGATGATGATGATGATTGGGATTTAACGCTACAAAAAAATTCGCACGTAAATGAGAACTGATCATGCACGAGCTTCTAAATGACAATGATATTTTAGATATAGTATATTTAAATAAATACACATAATGTTGTTACGTTAACATTATTTAAAAGAATTACTTGCTGGCATTTCAACGTGGATCGCACCACGTCGTGGTATTTACTTGCAAAGTTTTTCATCACGTTAAATCCCGATAGTGTATTTAAAATATGTGTGAATAACGCGAAAATGTAATATTAACAATTATTATATACTAGCTGTTGCCCGCGACTGCGGTCGTTTTTCGTAAAATAAGTAGCCTATGTCCTTCCACACGGTTCAGTGGTTTTGATGTAACAGGCAGATTTCCTTTCACTGTTCTGCTCTGATTGATCATAGCATGATGAAAAGTATACTATAACCTGCTCAGGAGTATGAAGAATAATTGTACCAAGTTTCGTTAATATCCGTCGAGTAGTTTTTGTTTTTATAACGAACATACAGACAGACAAAAATTTTACTGATAGCATTTTTGGCATCAGTATCGATCACTAATCATCCTCTGATAGTTATTTTGGAAATATATTTCATGTACAGAACTGACCTCTCTACAGATTTATTATAAGTATAGATTTTGGTAAACATGTACCTATTGGCGGGAAAGGGATTGCTAAATGGAGTATGACAGCCCCATTGCTAGCAATGTGCCCTATTAGGTCGACCTTCACGCGGTTCCCCCTGGAAACCATCGTGAACAATTCTTGTTGAATTCATCACGATGGGCTAACTGACCTGCTTCATTCTCACCTGTCATCCTTCACTGGTGCCCCGCCGGTGTATACCGTTAGCGCGGGTAGGGTCACCATTCCATTATCACCCATAAAAAGAAAACATGTACCTACTATGTATAATGCAAAAGGGAATAGGTTTCTTTTTATCCTACCCAACAAACATACTTATACTTTTAACTTGGTCACTGAACCCGATTACGCGAACCCTGTCGCGGTTAAAAGCTATTAACTAATAAATAAAAAATCGTTTATTTATGTGTACATTTTAACCTTTAACACTTTCTCAAACGTTTCTTTTTGCGAATTGTACAAATATAGATAAAATGGTACATAATTGTTAACTTTTTGTACCGCTGTCCACTAACCCGATAATGACGGTCAACCGGCTTGCCCTGCGACGGTCCTCACCCCATTGAACAATTTCTCAGAAACTATTCAGGCCCAATGCACAATTTCTGAGAATCGATAGACCCATATGTCGGAACTCCATCAAAGATGGTCATGCGACTGTTAAATTCAAATAATTTCCACGTATTTCGACTGACATTAATGGAAAAATAGTACTTTTTCTGCGTAGTACGTAGCAGCTTGTTAACATTTAAGCCACCCAGTTTTATGGTAATTGAAAAAATGTTTTAGTTCAATAGCCAACGACCGAGGGTCGATAGATTCGTGGCACCGAGGGCCTCTTTCGCGGAACTGCGCCGGCGCACCTTGTCCACGTGGAGCTGGGAACCACCGAACACCGACTACTGGGTATAGTATTCCAGTACTTTTTTTTTTTATATAGCTAGGAAACTTACTCTGTACTTAACAAAGGCTATATTAATAGACTGTATGACTACAACATTAGTAATTCATTAATTGATCTCAATAATAGGAGATCGTCCCTTTGATTTTTTTTTTATTTATACAAATTTGAAATAGGTACAGTTTATAAGACCTTAACATGGAATAAATAATGATCGATCTATTTAAAAAAAAAGTAGACGTTGTTAATTCGATGGACTTTTTTTTAATTAAAAACTTAGACTTTATACTAAATGTAATTAAAAAAGATATACGACATTCGAATCTATTTTTAATCATTGTTTTTTTTTTTATATACCACTAAGGTGGCAAACAAGCATACGGCCCACCTGATGGTAAGTGGTTACCGTAGCCTATGAACGCCTGCAATACCAGAGTATAGTTTTTATAACGGAAACTTTAATTAAGATCGATGAATGTGGAAGAAACGAAAGAGGTTTGTTTGAATCGAAGCATTTGGCGTTCCATTGTTTCTGCCTAATGGGAGACAGGCGTGACAGATATGTATGTATGTATGTATAACTTTAATTACTCTTATTATATATTTTTATGTTTAGAATGCAAATTTTCATCATCATCATATTAGCTTTTAACTGTCCACTGCTGAACATAAACCTCCCCTTTGGGGGGGGGGGGGGGGGGTTGCTACTAGTTGCCATACTTGGCAGACGGATTGGCAACGGCAGTTAGGCTTTGGAGATGTTTTAAGAGGGACGCTGCTGCCCATCCTTCGATTATTAAGTTCTCTTAGTCCCCTCTTATGACACCCATGGGAAAGGAAGGGATGACCTATTCTACGCTGGAACCATTAACCAATAATGTATTATTAATTGTAATTAAAATTGAAATATTTTTAATTTCAAATAAGGCATAATAACCTCACCTTTGTCCAATCAGTGTAAATGAGTAAATTAGCAGGGATACCATTCCATTATCATCTGTTTAGAAAAATACAAAAAAGTCACATAAGTTTTTTTTTCCATTAAACGTCACACGTGCAGGAAAGTTAATTAAAAATGTAAATAATGTAAAATGACAATTTGATATAAAAAAATTATAACTAGACGATATCTGTATATCGAATGATTTAAGAAAAATTTATGTAAGGAATCTTAATAAGATCAAAAGATGGCAAAATGAGTATGTAAGTATGTATGTTTGTTTCAATATGACATAAAAACTACAGCACAAATTTGAATCACGTTTTCACAGTTGTATTTCTAACTTAAAATCAGATATCAGCGACGCGCACGTAACACTCCTAGTGTTGCAGGCGTCCATAGGCTACAGTGATCGTTTACAATCAGACGGGCTGTATGCTTGTTTTCCTGCCACCTTTGTGATATTAAAAAAAAAAAGAAAAAAAAAGTTTTCCGTTTCTTGATACGTCACCTACAAGTGGTCTATTTCTTTACTTCTAAAATTCATAAATACAAAAAAGCGAGCAAAAAACCAGCCATAATAATATATGTATTCTTTTCTTCCATCATCAGTATACAAAATACATAAAACAGAGGCAATACATAAACTATCTAGATGATGCTCTACAATTGGAACCACTGAAGCGGTATGACGATAAGGAATCCACGAAGAAAGAGTCCTGGCCCTGTGTTCCCAGAAAGAGGCGTTACTTATCATCAGCCGACAGTATTCTTGACCTGCCTACGTATAGCTACGCGACTTGTAAGTATTATTTTATTTATAAGTTTTTTTTTATTCAAATTAGAAGGGCAAACAAGCTGACAGCCCACCTGATGGATAGTGGTAACCGTCGCCTATAGACACGAACAGTACCATGAACATAACAGAGCATCTATGTCATCCATAATACCTTTCATGCGTACTCTGAATTAAATGTCATAATTTAATTGTCATATTCTATTCTTTAAGACCGAAACATAGCTATGCAAACACAACTGCTTCACAGCAGAAACACGAGTAGGACAAAGGTGTCCAAGCAGATGACTTTTGTAGTATTTAAATTCATTTATTTGCTCAAATAAGGTATTTTTTTAAGTATGTTACATCAAAAGTCTACCACAATGTAGACGTGCAAATATTAATACTTATTATACAGAAAATGTGCCGTCTGGTCCCTGTATAGAATGGGCTACCCTTTCCTTTCCTGTAGATGTAATAAAAAGGCGACTAATGGAACTTATGGTGGGGGGATGGACAGCAGCGTCCCTCTCAAAACATCTATAAAAACCTAACTGCGATTGCCAACCCGCCTGCCAAGCGTGGCAACTACTGGCAAATCTCCGCTTATGATGAAGGCTTATGTTCAACAGTGGACAGTTAACGATTGAAAATAATAATATAATAACATAGAAAATTAGCTGAAATAATTATTTACCAGTTCCAGAACTCCTTGATTGGAGCAACGACAATATTCTGGTGGCAGCCCTGGGTAGGAACTACCACAAATGGAGCTGGCGGTCGCAGAAACTGATTAGCCAAGGCCAGGCGCAGTATGACATTCATTGCTGTAAATTCGACCCGCGCAGTGAACTGCTTATAGTAAATTAAGTTTTATTTTCTCTTAATTTATTTATTTATTTATTAGTACAAATATGTGTACGTGGCGGACTTAATGCTAAAAGCATTCTCTCCCAGTCAACCATAGGGAAGTGTCAGAATACTCGAATGCAGTATTAGTAATTATTGATATACATACATACTAAAATTGCATATATAAACGAATAAATATATATGAATAACAAATATACTTACACATATATGATATATACTATATTATACACGAATTTGGGAATAATATAAAGGATTTACTGCCTTACTTAATCCCTTTAAAAATTTGGATTCTGCTACTAAATTTGAAAGATAGGATAATCGACTAATTATCTGCCTTCTCTGTGTTGTAAACGAGTATAAAAGGCACGTTTCATCTCCAAAATTCTGTAAAAAAAACGTCCGAAGGAATTAATACCACTATAATAACAATTGCCATAAGCTGAAATTTCATCTCGACCATCCGGATAAGTAGCGTTTCTCCACTATGCGTTTCTCTAGACATTTTCTTCCTCGCACAAATAAAGTATAGAACCAACTTCCAACAGCAGTAATTCCGACTGATACGACATTAAAACATTTAAAGGGAAAGAGCATATTCCTTCTTAAAAGACCAGCAATACACCTGCAATTTTTCTGGTGTTGCTGGTGTCTATAGGCGGTAGTGATCACTTGCCATTAGATAAGCCACATGCTCGTTTGCCCCCTGTGTTATAATAAAAATTAAATTAATACTTTCAATACAGTTAGGAACACATTACAAAAGTGTGGAGATTCACGACAGTACGACGAACAGATGGTTGAGGAGCAGTTGCTGCCGGTGCCGGTTGCTTGTTAACAGCTATTGCTCTATCACTACCCTCGACTGGAGCCCGACTGGAAACTCCTTCGTAACGTGAGACCATTCGTTTTTTGTTTATTTCAATTTAAATTTTGATAAAAACTCAACATAATATGGAGTATAGTCCAACTAGACAAATTTAATTTTCATAAAAATTATCAATAGATACATATGCACAATGGTGGGTGTGCTGTACGTAAATAAGATCTGGGTTCGATACCCGATCGAATCAGTTTAAGATACGAACTTTTTTAATTAAATGGCTTTTGGACGTTCTAGGTGTGCCTACGAAATTACGTTGCCTTGTTTCTCATAATTATTATCCTAACTGTCCTAATGTATGTTACTCCTATGTTACTTTTTTATTGTTATGTATGCCTATACAAAAGTTCACCTTTTGGTCCACATATTTTAATAAAGTTCAACAAAAATAAACAAATTAATTTTATTATCTGAACGTTCAACAGATTCATAGATTTATGACTTATTCTTTCATTGTAGATATTTAAATTCTTTCACAGTTACAAAGAATGACTACAATTTTGACTCCTTTTTGATAAAAAAATAACAACCAAGCCAATTAAAATTAACGACCTACGTGACCTAAAAGTAGATCCACTACTTTGCGTAATTAGGTTCGAAGTTTAATTTCTTATTGGGTCAATTTAGGAAATAAACTTTTTTACGTTGGCTCGATACTAGGTGGTCTGAGTTATGCCTCCAGATATTAATTGGCTGGTTTCTTATAACACAGAATATAACATAGAGTGCTTGATGTCCAGTTAACGATATATAATAATAATGTGAATAAAAACAATAACATTTTTAGGGGCTGTTCCATGGGAATGGTGACTTCTTTTACCCGGTGTACCAGAATAATAAGCTGGAAGGAAATGATGTGTGGCCCGGTGTTGATCGTGAAGGTGTCACCGGACGCTCGCTACGTCGTCCTCGCCACTCTCAACGCTGACACCGTCTACGTGTTGAGTTGGCCTTCCCTCGAGATGATTACAAACGTCGCATCGGATTGGACAATTACGGTGACTCATTTTTTTTTTTTTTATTATTTATCGAAAATATCGCAACTTTCACAGTCTATGAGTATTTAGGCCAAACTGTGACACTCGGAGGAGATGGACAAATAAGGTTGAGAAAAAGATTTAGCTGTAATAGGTAGCCTTTAGCAAGCTCATGTACTAAAAAGCAATCATGTACCATCATGTCTTCTTCAAAAGACTCATTCCCCTATGATAGCCTATGGTGAAGATAACCGAACTCTTACGTCTTTGTGCGAAAGCTCCAAGTTGCGCAAAAAGCGATGGAACGGGCTATGGATATCTCTCTTATTGACAACATCCAGTTTAAAATCAACATCATGCTTGATGATAGACATTGGAGCCGTAATATCGCAAACTGGAGACTAAGGATTGGCCGGAATAAAGTGGGAAGACAGTCAAAAGAACAATGTGTAAGATCTGAATGCACATGGCGGCTAGTATACCTTGTGTTATGAGCTACCAGGTAAAGAACATTTAAGGGTACTACCTAGTCCATTTCAAAAAATTTTGTTTCCTTAATTGGTTCGAGCACGAATCGAATCCGGGACCTCCTTACACAAAGCGTGCCTATCTCTGGACTACAGAGATCCCTCCTGGAAAATATCGTGGTTCGTTCCTAGTCAATTAACCAGGGCCAACTGACCTTGTTTCATCTAGCAACATTCACTAATACCCTACCAATACATTCCAATGGCACAGGCGAGATGATCATTTCATTTTCATCTGATTCAAATACTTCTGGAAACGCTTTCGTACAACATCTGCAAAGGATTTTTTTTTTTTTTTTTTTTTTTTTTTACAACACAGGGGGCAAACGAGCATGCGGCTCACCTGATGGTAAGTGACTACCGCCGCCCATGATCACCCACAACACCAGCGGCATTGCAGGTGTGCTGCCGGCCTTTTAAAAAGGAATATACTCTTTTCTTGAAGGTTATGTTGTCGTATCGGTTCGGAAATACTGCTGCTGGAAGTTGATTCCAAAGAATGGTTGTGCGTGGAAGAAAGTGCCTTGAAAAACGCACGGTGGAAGACCGCCACTCGTCCAGATGATTGGGATGAAACTTTAGTTTGTGGCGGGTTGTACGGTGGTGAAAATCAGCAGCAGGTATCAATCCAAACAATTCCTCAGAACACTCCCCATGATAAATTCGGTAGAAGATGCACAGAGATGCAACATCTCTGCGCAGTTTCAGTGGGTCGAGTCGGACAGTAAGGCGTTGACTATCGATAATTCGAGCCGCCCGACTTTGAATGCGGTCTAACGGAAGGAGTTGGTACTGTGGCGCTCCTGCCCACAGGTGAGAACAGTATTCCATATGCGGCCTGACTTGGGCTTTATATAATTTCAGGCGGTGTTCTGGCATGAAATATCGTCTCACCCTATTGAGTACTCCTAACTTTTTGGAAGCTATCTTAGCCTTCTCCTCCAGATGACCGCAAAACTGGACGTCGCAAGATATATCAACGCCCAGAATTCCTAGACTCGACTTTTTATCAAGGGAAGTGCCCTGAAAGTGAGGAGATACGACAAACGGCGTCTTTTTTGCGGTAAACGCGCAGACTTGTGTCTTTTTGGGGTTAAATTGGACAAGATTTTGTTCACCCCAGATCGAAACTTGATGGAGTGAAGTTTCGATTTCAGACACAAGTCTATTCCGGCACTCATCGGTATGTGCCCGCGAGATCTTTGCATGACCGGTATATAATGTATCTCCTGTACTGATTTATGAAACCCCAAGAATTCACTTCTTATACCTAGCTAATAGTTTATTTTTTTATTACATTTTTTAATAGACATTGGCATGGCATCCCTGGAGGAGTGCCCTTCTAGGAATCGGTGCTATTAACTCCGATCTGAGAGCGACAATCGCCATGTGGGACGCGCCCTCCGAGAAAGTGTGCGAAGCGAACATAGGCCATGACCAGTACAGCCTCGATGCGATGCTGTTCAGCGACAGAACTGGAGAGTTGGTGATCAGCTTGTGGAACTCAGGTAGGAGTCATAAATGTCCATGTATTTTTATTACATTACGTTTATATTACATAAAAATCGATCAAGTCATAATCTTTACACAGTAAAAGACTGTCGATTTCCTTGTCTATCTGTTTATTCGCTTACTACTTCTAAATCTTGTAACAGGTTTTAATGCTTGTTTCGTTATCGTTTAGACATTTACTTATGAGAATTTGTACGAAAATGGCTCAGATCATTAGTATTTAAATCATAAAGGAAAACTTGTATAAAAATATTTTCTCTTAAGCTATGGAATGGGCAATGCTAGCATTTACATTGCTAAACGTAATCCGAAAGAAGAATATTGGCTAGAGAACCATAATGACCAATGTAGAATGGAAAATTCTCGAATTGAAGCCCTGTTATTTTTCACTGGTTATTTAAACAGAATTTACTTAATTTCGCTACATTAGTATTTGTGTGATTGCCACCAGAAGTTTGATCAACACTATTACTACCAGAAGTTCCACAACCTTCAATATTCGCTATTATTATCTTACTGCCATTTTGTTCAGGTCACTTTTGCGACACGTTTTTCATCTCTACACGAAGCATCTTTTGCGAACTTAAAGGGTTAAGTTAAAGGGTTAACTTAAAGGGTTCAGCATTCTAAAAGTAATAGGCGAGAAATATAACTCGCCTATAGTTGGGCATTTCATTCAGATGCTGATCTAGTCGGCTGGGTCACATCTGGGTGAAATGCTTAATTAAATCAATTTGTTTTTCTTTTTTTTTTTTTTTTTACTAACATAGTTTGTAAGAAAATTGTTACTAACAAAATTGGACCGCATTGTAGTCTGCATAATAAAGTATTATTATTATTATTATTAAAACTAGATTCGGCTAGAGTAATACAGTAACACCTCGACTTATGCTACCCCGATTTGTGCAAACCCGGAATTACGCGATTTTCAAATTTCGTCGATTCTATTGTTTGAATTCGAACATGTTCCGCGAAATGGCCGCATACCTAGGAACCAAAAACTCACAGACAAATGTTAACGATTATACCCCGACTTACGCGAATTCGACTGACGCGGTTATCCTTTCGTTATACCTATCGCGTAAGTACGAGATATTGCTGTACGATATTGTGAAGAATGAGATAAACAATGTTACCACAAATGGAGAATTAAATTATGGTAACGTTGACGAGTGTAAACAAACAGTATTACGTGTATTATATGACGTTCTCAGACACGTCCTCGAGACAGCCGAAGCCATGTTCACATCTGTTGGTTCTCGGTGACGCTCACACAGTCGTGGACCACTGGGGCGAAGGTACCAGCGGCTTGGACAGAATACGGACAATGATCTTTAGTCCTGACGGAACTAAACTCGGTAAGAATATAGTGTTATTCAAATAAATAAATAATAATTGCTACCTGATTTTAAAGAATACCCTGCGTTAGGAAGAAAATTAACATGTTATGAAAGCAATGCACATCTGGGGTTACAATCCAGAATACCCAGACTCGAGCCAATTTAGGAAAAATAATTTCCTAAATTCCGGTAATGCTCAATCGGGAATCGAATCGGGGAGTTTATTTATGCATAGCAACAAGGTCGATATAAAATAATTTGTATATTGTAAACGAGCGACAGATTCCGCTCGTATCTAAAAGAATTGACTTTTTCTTGCTATTGAATCATCTCAATAACTACCAATATAAGTTTGAAACTCGAAATAGTTTTACATTTTTAGGGCCTACCCACACATATTACTTTGTAAATAACTGAAAAATTAATTTTATTTTCTATGGGGATCAACAAGAGGTACTCAAAATTTGAAAATGGATCTGTTAATCCAAATGGGGTGACATATGAAAAAAAATCATTTATATATTTTAAAATGACAAATATTACAGGAATAATAAAACTATGTTTCCAACCATCCCATTTTTTATCAAAAATAATTTATCAATTATCAAAAATCCTCTAAAAACAAACTTAGTTTTGCTGACCAATTTTTGACCACAATTATAGCCTAAAAAAAAATTACAAATAATAATAACTATTTGGTATCTATTTCGAATAAGAAATGGAACAAAGGTAACTTTATCTACAGCCTCAATGGTCGCGTACTGCGCGGTTTCAGAGATGTTTCCTCCCACGAACAATCAGGTTATGGAATGAGCTCCCTGTCGAGGTCTTCCCAAGAGACTACAGCATGGGGTTCTTCAAAAGGGGTAAAGAGGTTTCTTCAGGGTCGGCAACGCACGCGTAATACCTCTGGTATTGCAGGTGTTCATAGGCTACGGTAACCATTTACCATCAGGTGGGCCGTATGCTTGTTTGCCACCTCAGTGCTATAAAAAAATTTATATAAGTAATAAATAAATAAATATATGTAGGTATGGCACCCTCAGCATTCTAATATAACTCACACTTGAACGGTTTTATTTATTAAGAGTACGATTTCATTTGCAGCTACAGCAACAGCCGATGAGGACTTGATAATCTGGAACTTTCTACCAGAAGACAAGAAGAGGACAAGATGCAAAAGATTCTGCTTGATGCCTGTCTACCTAGATACGGCCATGCACGGCTTCTCGGTACGATAAATTTTTCTAGACAATCATCGTAAACTTTATTGCATTTTTATTTTTGTTAATTTGGCTCCTATTTTAATTAAAAACTATATATAATATGCAATTTATATATATATATATATAGGAAAATGCTCAAAGACTGACTGACTGACACATATATCATTTGTACAGCCGAAACTGCTGAATATAGAATCTTTAAATTTTGTAAACAGACTCTTTATAGAGCGTAGGTGAACAAGAATAATTTTGAAAATTCAACCCCTAAAAGGGTAAAACGAAGGTTGAAAATTTGTATGGAATTTCATCAGTTTAGAAGTTAATGATGTTAAATGTTAGATTCAGACTTATGGTTCAAAACAAAATCCGCGATAAATCATATACAACACGCGAGCAAAGGCGCGGGAAAAAGCTAGTTTTTAATATAGTAATTTTACAGAATGATATGAAAATAATTGCTTTTTTACGCTATAATTAACAATAATAAAAAGTAATATAGTTGACAAATAAATAATTATATACGAGTAGTTAAAATTTGATAAATTTTTATTTTACTTATTATTTTATATTTATATATTTTAGTTCTTATAAATTGCTATGCTGGATGTATCATACCTAATTATTTTTAGATTAATAAATTTTATATCAAAATATACACTTTATTTGAGAATATTGAATAAAATATAATTAATTTAGACCTCTCCTCCGTTGAAATTGAATAAAATATAATGAAACCTCTCCTCTTCTCATTTACATACCGTTTAAATTAAATTTATTTAATTATACTGATGTATTTTGCTTCACTTCTCAGTATTAAAAGATTATAGGACTACAGTTAAATTACAATTTCTTCTACAAAAGAAGAAAAAAATAAAAAGTTCATTGACCTACATAGATTTATTTATTTTATAATTTCTCAAATAATTTTTAATGTGAAGTGATACAAGAGATTAGTTTCTTTACAACTTTAAGGTAACAAAACTAACGGATGCCTAACTTTTATAGTGGCTTAAAAAACATGTGTTGACGTGTCAATAAAATAAATATAATTTAAATTTACAACGATATTACAATCTCATGAATGGAGTTATTTTAAGTTTACTTGCTTGTCAATTTTATAAAGTATTCAGACTCAAAATAGTATAATAATAGTTGGTTTTAATAATCATAACTGATATTAAAATAAAGTACCCATAAGTGATCTACAAGTAACGTAAGTTTTTTTTATACCACTGCGGTGGCAGACAAGCATACGGCCCACCTGATACTAACCGATTACCATAGCCTATGAACGCCTGCAAAATCAGAGGTATTACGCGCGCATTGCCGACCCTGAAGAAACCTCTTTATATGTTCTTTTGAAGAACCCCATGCTGTAGTCTCTTGGGAAAACCTTGGCAGGGAGCTCATTCCATAACCTGAGTGTTCGTGGGAGGAAACATCTCTGAAACCACGCAGTACGCGACCATTGTGCCTGTAGGACATGAGGATGAATATGTCGATGGCGAGCCATACGATGGTAGAAAGTGCCTGTGGGCATCATATTGAACAATTCATCTAAACACAATCCGTTGTACAAACGGTAGAACACGCAGAGTGAGGCAATAGTATAATGTAGTTAGCTTATAATAATCATGACTGCTATTAAAATAAAGTACCGATAAGTGTCTATAAGTAACGTTATTAAAATATAATCAAAAATTTGTTTGCCATTTTTTACTTAAAAACAAAAGGAAATTGTACAATAAAATCATACAATAATTTTATTAATAACTTCGAGTAAGTATATTTTATTAATAACTTCGATTATGTCCCACAAACTTCAATCGTAGCAAAACCAGTTACTTTAAATTCAAATACAATAGTTTCGGTTTGAAATTTTTATAAAATTTCTATGGGACCAATCTGTAAGTATATCCTTTTAGATAAAAAAAAATTCAAAATCGGTTTTTAAATTACTTAATACTGAAGTAACAAACAAAAAAATGACCTGAGGAACAAATAAAATAAGTACTAATCTACACAATAGGCTATATTATATGAAACATAATACGTGAATTTTTAATAAGCTTTATTATTCAATAGATATAGACCGAGAAATTCTGAAAATACAATAAAATTAATCCATGTTATGACGGAGAAAGAATACAACCTATCACAACTTAATACATTGATGTAGGGGGATTGTTAGCAATGGAGTTTGACAGCCCCATTGCTAGCAATATACCTTATTAGGTGGACCTCCACGTGGTTCCCCCTGGAAACCATCGTGAACAATTCTTTTTGAATTCGTCACGATAGACTAACTGATCTGCTTCATCCTCACCTATCATCCTTCACTGGTGCCCCGCCGGTGTATACCGATAGTGCGGGTGGGGTTACCATTTAAAAAAAATACATTGATGTGTGATAGGTCGTATTCTTGAGATGCAAGAAAACGAAATCTCTAAATATGAACTTTTATTATGCCATCTAGCTGGTCTGACAATAGTAGACTTTATTATTCTTATTGGAGGCAACTCATGTCCAGCAGTGGGATATTAATAAGTTGTCAAGAAAACAATAATATAGTTATTAATCTATGGAAAAAAAAATCTCTAAAACAAATAACTGAATACAAGCAATATCATGGTGAAGTATGTAATACCATATATAGTACCTATCTACATAGAATAAAACGATTCTATTACCCTAAGGTATTTTTCAATTTATTGTACAAGCAAATAAAATGAAATCGATTCACATACAGGATAAATTTATCGTACATTTATCAATAATAAAATACTTGGATATAGAATTTTATGTCAGTGAAACCACGATCTAAAACTGCACAGAGGCATCTCTCTGGGAATCGTGCGCACGCTTCAATACTACATCGATGCTTGAAAGCTAAAACCTATTAAGTGACATTTAGTGAATTTTACAGAAATAAAACAGAAAGGCAAAATAAGTGATAATAGGTAAATAATGTACCACAAAAAAATACTTACTGACTTTAATTGTGACAGAACCTGTTATTTTGATCTAAAAATTAAACTACTGAACTTACTTTGATAAAATGTCTATGTGACTAATTGATATGTACTTAAGACAAAAAAATAATATTTCAAATAGGTTTATAAATATCGGAGTTATGTGGTAACAAACTTAAAAAAAATATAACCAAATTGAGAGCTTCATATTTAAAAGTCTTTTGAAACAATCAGTTAAATCTCCTAGTTTTTTTTTTAATCAATTGAAAATAAGAAATCAATAAAAAAATTCTGGAATATAAACCAAAAGAGATTTTATTGTGAATAATTTTTTTAATCTTGACTAAAGATGATCGGATTAATTTCTCAAATATACCATTTGAGGCAGAAAAAGCATAATTCTTCTATTATAAACACGAAAGTTTGTGAGTATATGGTATATGGATAGATGTTTGTTATTCTTTCATCTTTATACTGAGGAAACCTTAGGATGAACGGATTAGAATAAAATTTTATACATAGGTAGGTTATATCTTAACACATAGAGTGTACTGATTCCCAAAGCTGCGATAAACAGCTAGCAATAAATAAATAATTCCAAATTTAAAATGGCGCTTAATACGTTTTGTCTTACCAGCGTGGGTATAGTAAATATATATTTTATCTGTGGCCAGCATGAATGGCGCTCCGGCCACAATGAGGGAATAAATTAGCCAACCGCTTATTGGAATGTCCGCAGCTTGAACTTGGACGACTCAATGAAGCGTGCGACTAAAAAAGACATGGGGGACCTTATTGATGGTGAATGAACTGGTGTCACCGAATCAATTTTTTTTTTTTTTTTTTTTTTTTTTTTACAACACAGGGGGCAAACGAGCATGCGGCTCACCTGATGGTAAGTGACTACCGCCGCCCATGATCACCCACAACACCTACGGCATTGCAGGTGTGCTGCCGGCCTTTTAAAAAGGAATATGCTCTTTTCTTGAAGGTTATGTTGTCGTATCGGTTCGGAAATACTGCTGCTGGAAGTTGATTCCAAAGAGTGGTTGTGCGTGGGAGAAAGTGCCTTGAAAAACGCACGGTGGAGGACCGCCACTTGTCCAGATGGTTGGGATGAAATTTTAGTTTATGGCGGGTTGTACGATGGTGAAAATCTGCAGCAGGTATCAATCCGAACAATTCTTCAGAGCACTCCCCATGATAAATTCGGTAGAAAATGCACAGAGATGCAACATCTCTACGCAGTTCCAGTGGGTCGAGCCGGACAGTAAGACGCCGATCGTCAACAATTCGAGCTGCCCGACCTTGAATACGGTCTAACGGAAGGAGTTGGTACTGTGGCGCTCCTGCCCACAGGTGAGAACAGTATTCCATGTGTGGCCTCACTTGAGCTTTATATAGTTTCAGGCGGTTTTCTGGCGTGAAATACCGTCTCACCCTATTGAGCACCCCCAACTTTTTGGAAGCTATCTTAGCTTTTTCCTCCAGATGACCGCAAAACTGGACGTCGCTAGATATATCGACGCCAAGAATCCCCAGACTCGACTTATTATCGAGGGAAGTGCCCCGAAAGTAAGGAGATACGACAAACGGTGTCTTTTTTGCGGTGAACGCGCAGACTTGTGTCTTCTTAGGGTTAAAGTGAACAAGATTGCGTTCACCCCAGATCGAAACTTTGTCGAGCGAAGTTTCGATTTCAGACACAAGTCTGTTCCGGAGCTCATCGGTATGTGCCCGCGAGATCTTTGCATGACCGGTGTATAATGCATCTCCTGTACTGTCGTCTGCATAACAATGAATATCACTGATCTGTAACATATCATTGATATGCAGAAGAAACAGTGTCGGAGATAGTACACAGCCTTGCGGGACACCAGCATTCACAGGTTTTAAGTCAGAGCATGCTCCGTCGACTACGACCTTAATGCTACGTTCCTTAAGAAAACTGGCGACCCAACTGCACAATCTCGCAGGCAACCCAAACGAAGGTAGTTTTGAGATTAGTGCCCTATGCCACACCCGATCAAAGGCTTTCGCAATATCCAGACTAACAGCTAAGGCCTCTCCCTTATTCTCGATTGCCACCGCCCATCGGTGTGTTAAATAAACTAAAAGATCACCAGCCGAGCGCCCCCGTCGAAAGCCGTACTGGCGATCTGAGATCAGCTGGCGATCCTCTAGGTACCGGAGCAGTTGATGGTTAACAACTGATTCCATGACTTTCGAGAATAAGGAGGTGATAGCTATGGGCCTATAGTTAGCTGGATCTGAGCGGTCTCCTTTTTTAGGGATCGGATGCACCAAAGCAGTCTTCCAAAACTTTGGGACTATACCTGATGAGTAACAGAGCCGAAAAAGACGCGTAAGAACCGGAGCCAACTCTGGTGCGCACGTCCTAAGCACAATTGGAGGAATGCCATCGGGCCCACTCGACTTATGGATTTCAAGGGAGAGAAGTGCTCTACGCACTGATCTTTGCGTGAATTTAACATCCGGCATAGAGCTCTTACAACGCGGGATGGTCGGCGGTGGTTTCTCCCCGTCATCCAACGTCGAGTTTGATGCAAAGAGAGATCCAAGGAGATCAGCCTTCTCTTTGGCGTTCAGAGCCAACGAGTTATCCTCCCTGCGCAATGGTGGAAAAGATGACTGACAGAAATTCCCTTGTGCAGCTTTGGCAAGAGACCAGA